ATGTAGGTTTTCCTTGTCCACGCCTGCTTGCCTTGAGTTGGTTACCTTAAATGTAGACATTGGAGGTTTCTTGGGCATGGAATCGGTAGCTTGCGCATTCAATGTAGGTTGGCTCATATTTATCGTGTTTAGCTTACGGCCTTGCGATTGGCCCAGAGGAGTAGCTGAAGACCGGCCAGCGCCTTTATAAGGTGAATGATGCTTTCTGTTGACATTGGGAGGATTGAAGACCGGATTGCCGGTCGAGTTTTGCAAGGCGCGACATGGAGAATGTTGCTTTCCGACAGACGGCATTGGGGCTCTACTTATTGAAAGTGCTGGTTGTGCGTAGTTTTCGTCCTGGAACTCGTCTTGATAGATCTGAACCGGTTCGTGTGCCGCGAAACGTGCTGGTCTGGCCATGCTGACCAGAGATAATGGGAGCGAACGCGCACTGGTGATCTTCAGCGCCAGATGCGGTCTACTTGTGTCAGAGTTAGCACAGGGTGGTCGTGGAAGGCGTAAAAGGTGTGTAGATATTTTCGTGACAAAACGACAAGGTAGGTAAGAGTCACGGGAATTGCATGACGCCAACCAATTTAATGGAAAGAAGGAGAGGCTTACCTCTAGATTAACGGAAAATGGTTCAGAGATGAGCAGTGGAGACGGAGAGGCAAGGGTAGCCTTTGGGCGCTGTGGATATCGCTAGGTGGAAAAGCTTCTGTGCAGGTAAGTCCCTGTTTACAAATGCGAAAAAGGCTGTGTGAAGAGCAGAAAACTGCACAAAATGATTGAGAGGGATGGTTCGCCAACGAATAGTGACGCAAAAGGCTGAAGGTAGCGACGCTGAGCGGTAGACAAACTGGGATGGGAGGAGATAGATAGGAGACGAAAGGGAGGGGGAGCTGGATCGTCGAGATCTGGGGGAAGAAGAATGACAGCTGGGCGTGCAAATGGATTGGAAGAGAGTTCAGAGGGGACGCACGGTACGTACAGCTAGGAGTCCACTGCTAAAGAGCACTGAAGAACAGGTTTAGGTAGAGTGGGTGGGTATGCCCAGTCTGGCCGGTAGGTGTCTAAGAGGCAGAAAGAATGGAACTGAGGAAAGATGGCACCTGAGTGTGCGAAATAGACGACCTAGTAGGGCTTAGTCCGCCAACTCAGCAGTGGAGCGCCAGTGGGGTCGAGTAGCAGAGTGGGGTACTGTGGAGTCGTATTCCCGGCAGAAGCAGCTGAATATGAGAGAGTATTGGTCCAGAGTGCACTGGGCTGATACGATGATGGTAAGCAAGATATAGAAGTGGATAACTGTAGCGCACAGCAGTGGGCAAGGATCTGGCGTAAGGGTGGAGCTAATTAAGGTCGGCATAAACCATCCACTGTATGTATGCTGTACTAGTAGTAGTAGTGGTCGGACAGTCGGTATCTCTGCTTGCTTGTGACGGCTCGGGTCAGGTCCAGCTCATTTATCAGACGTCCCACAACGACCAGACTTAGGAAGCATACCTGTGCCTATCTACAGCTTCATCCCAGCTTTAATGCAAAGCTCAATCGATTATTGGTGTGGTGTCACTGTCAGGATCTTCGAGGTCGCTTCGAGGCAGGGGGGGGGGGGGGGGGGGAAGCGTGGGAAATGCTAAGAACGCTCGGAACGGAGAGAGGCGAGCGAACAAATGAGAAAGGTAAGGTAGGTAGGTATCTGAAGACTACAAGCCGAATGAAAGTAGGTCGGTAGATGGATTCATTCGCGGTAAGGCCGAACTTGTCTGGACCAAGAAGGTGAGAACGGTGGTCTGCTGGAGATGTGCGTTCGATTTGTTCGCGGATTTAATGCTGGTTTAATGTTGGGGCTCCAAAGCTGGTCGAGTCGGCCTTATCATTCATTTGCAAGCTCTATCTTCTGTTCGTTTTCTGACCTTCTCTGCTTAGCCCCCCGCGGCTGCCCGGTATCATCTGTGCTTGTGGTACGAAAGAAGTGTGCGACCAGAAGGATGCAGCTCGTACGAGGGTGCCAAAATCGTCTGGGATTAATGAGGTGGAGGTAAGCGATTGGACGAGGGAGGGCAGCGCGTAGAGTGATTCCAGATTGGTCGCACACGAGAATTCAGGGAGGGGTGTCCTTGGTTGGACGTGTCGCGTTGTTTTGGAATCCCCGGCAACGCGTCAAGCCAATCAAAACGTCATAGATGGGTTCTTGGCACGCCTCTGCATGCACTTTGCGCTCTGCCCCGGTCGCTAGTCGAAATATAGATTAGTGGCAATCCGACGGGTGCTGTGCAATGTATTCCGTACAGTAAGTACTACTGCTGCATGTCAGTCACTATGTACGTACCACAGCATTTTATTGGTAGGGCGTCGTTAACGCTTTCTAGACGACACACCCTATTATAAGTCTCCTACGATGGAGCGAGAGTATTTCAACGAGCCCATCATGACTACGCTGTATACTCCTACGTATAGTGAATACCAGCATCGCAGAGGATACTATCATACTATTCATACAATCTTGAGGACAACGACACAGTGATATGCTACCATGATTAATGTTTAAGGGGAAAAGACCTCGTTGCTGGCACTTGATATACGCACTATCTCCAATCTACGAATAAGACTATAAGACTATCAGAGACAATTCCTCAAGAAATCTACACCCCCCCTTTCCCCGAATGGATATCTCTTTGCAATGCATTCTAATACTTCTATAGCCTGCTATAGTGCAGAACCCGTACCTAGTTTTGTTACGGTAACAACTACTTAGCAGTGTACAAGCAGCATCAGTTCTGTACCTGTACCGACGGACAAGCACCCGACTTCACGGCGCTCTACTTGTGGCAGAGTGGCAGCATGGTGTTACGGACCTTTTTTACGACACATCATATTTGCTCACGCTAATAATAAAATGCTGAAAGGCTATACTTCATGGTTGGATACAAGGCAAGATCAAGAGCGGCGTCCTCGTTTCCCATTTGGGTCCTCAGTGCGGAACGACTGCCAACTCACCAGGACTCTAGTCTCACCGAATAGCAAGATCAGCCCGGGTAGTCGAAGGCGAACTATTTCAGCGAATCATGACTTCAAGCAAAAGTCCCGTGGTCCTGTTAGCCGGCCGGCTAGGCTGCGGCCTAGAGGAGTAAATCGTAAAAACTCTTGCTTTCACCATCAATAGCATGGCCACACTTGTACAACCACAGTGCCAAAGACCCCCACGATCGAGGCTCCAGGCCCGACGGTTCATATCGATAATACGAGCACAAGGCTTGGATTAGCTGTATGAGGCAAAACTCGAGGTTGCCTTCCAGGGGTTATAGAGGCCTACGAAGCCATGCCGGCTCTTCATTAATGAACCTAGCCTTGTAGGTCGAACAACGACTGATCTATCATATTTGAATGTGAGCTACTATTGTCGTTGTTGCACGAAGAAAAATTTTTTAATGCGCTGTCTCCATTCAGTACCGTCCGTTGCCTCCTGTTGTCGAACCGGAAGGGTATCAGATCATTGCCGGCAAGGGTAGTTAAATGGTATTCACTTCTAGTTCGAAATCGAAAGGCGCCTAGTTCGTACTGTTTATGATGAAAACAGACAAAATCTATGGGTGTGTAGGTGTGGGTGTATGAAGGACGTATATACGTATATACAAAAAATCACGTAGTTCATTAAAAGAAAATACAAGAATATACATACTATAGTGGTAGAATAAACAGACAGATGTCGTACCCAGGTAGTTAGAGATATCCATGAGAGACAAATGACGAGGCTATCGAGATTAAGCTTAATTAAACAGAGCTAGCGGAAGCGTCCGTTCTGTCATATCGATGCAGACGTAGTTGTCCTGCGGTATAGATTAATCATGGATGTTGCCACGGAGGTTTTGTGTAAGGCTCGCACCTTCTTGCCCCTTCCCCCAACAAAGTGCAGGCGTTGCAGGAATGCAGAAAGGTACTACTACGATCACAATGCTTTCTGTGTTGGGTAATGATTACCCAGGTGGCTCTATTCTACAACAATATCGCCATCCCGCCATCCACACTCGATTCCAAGACAGAACAGAGATCAACATGATGTATCCGATTCGGTTATTTCTACAGAACTGCTACAGAACTGCCTCTCTGCCACTCCGCCTCTCAATCTAGCTAGCCAGCAATTTCAGTCACAACACTGACTGCTCCTTCCAACAACGAGACACCCCAACACGCGGAGTTGAATCGGCCAGACGCCCGGTTAGCTCAATCGGTAGAGCGTGAGACTCTTAATCTCAAGGTTGCGGGTTCGACCCCCGCATCGGGCTCAATTCCCGGTGCTCCTTGGTTAACCAAGGAAATCCCTGATTTTTTTTTTCTATTTTTGTTATTAAAGTCCTACCGTTGTGTATGCTAGAGGGACCTAACCCCTATAATGGGCTTTTAACCTTTAAAAGTGGGGCGATGAGAACGTGGACACTTGAATAATAATCGCAAGAATAAAAAATCTAGAACATAGAGAAAGAAGAATAATGGTTATAATTGCTCGCTTTTAAGATTTGCTTCCCTTGCCTTTTAGCTACCCAGGTAGAACATTCCGTTATAAAGAAAGGGGTTCTTGGTTGGTTCTTGGTTAACTTTAGACCTGTTACTCTTGGGTGGAGTCCTTCTCGAAACATAGACAGTTGTATCTGGACTCTAGCAATATTTCATTAACATGATTGCAGGCCCAAAGGCCATGTGCTCAAGTTGAGTGTGGCCCATAACATTATACCACCATGTAGGTTTGTGTGTTTTCTTTTCCTTTCTTTATGGGGAAGCACAGCAGGATGTGCATAGTTGTTTGTGGACTAGTGTAAGCTAGGAGAGAAGTTTTTTCTCAGTAGACCCTCTTGACTCCAGTTTACTTTTCACTCCAACCAGTTACGTAGAAAAAAAGAAATAGATCAAACCCAAGGCTATTCTAGTTCAAGCCTTACCAAAGGGAAAATTTCTAATGCAAAAAACTGTGCCGTCTTTGCTCTCTCAATACAATATACGGCCTGATCAACTCAACCAACCACGGCCTCGTGGCCCAATGGCAAGGCGTCTGACTACGAGAGAGAGATTCAGTGATGACTCCCTCACGGCAATCAGGAGATTCTGGGTTCGACCCCCAGCGAGGTCAGAGTGAGTGAAGTCCCTAGCAAGGCTGTGGTTTCGTGGCCCAATGGCAAGGCGTCTGACTACGATGACGCATTCATTAGCAGATAATTCGATAATGAATGCTTCACGGTAATCAGGAGATTCTGGGTTCGACCCCCAGCGAGATCAACATATGTTACGTGTCACTACTCACGAGTTAACAACCCCGGTGTTGTTACATTCTTTTTTCTTTTTTCTTTTTATGCTTCTTTTCGAGGGACTTCCCGGGTACTGTGCCCCCCTTGCGCAGATCGGCTAGTTTGTTATGTGGAAAAACAAGTTTAACTCATCGGCGAACGCTCAAGGGTGCATGCAGTTGAAAAATTGGGTTAAAAATGACTTATCAACATAGTATCTAGAGCATTCGGACCCTATGAGTTGGCGTTGGGAATTTAATCTATTATGTGAAACATAAACATTTGACATGCTGGTGGCGGTGCCGTCTTGGGCAGGTGGTGTGGGTAAGGCAATGGATGGCTGCATAAATGTAACTTGGGGGCCAACTGCCAAACCCCTCCGAAATTTCAGCTAGACTGCCTGCCTACCTACCTAACCTACCCTACCCCTCTATCTACTCCGTACCCCAACTCGATAAGCTCCGGGTTGATCGTTACCTCATCACCCAACCTCAACCTGTGCGCGATACGCCTCCACGCCTATCAAGTTGAGGCCTCGCGCTGCTTACTATGTAGCCGCCTATATGAAAAAGTGATACATCGCAAGACCATCAGGATGAACAATTGGCGCGATGACTATCTGGCCTCGTTGCAAGAGGCGGAGCGCAACAACCCGGCGAACAAGGACCTGGTCGAAACTTGTAAGCGCGGGCTTTCTCCCTCACATTTCCGAAATTGGTTGGGTGCACGCATCGCTAGCCAACAACACTATGTCACAGCGCCATCCCTACACTACACACACCACAAACAAACCACCATGAGCTGCTCTCCTATTGATCGAGGGCCACCCCGAAGCTGACACCTGCGCTCTTTTGCCCCCCCTTTTTTCTAGGCTCCCAGCTTGCGGATCGTGTCGCAGCGCTCGAGGCCGAAAAGGCGGCCTGGGCCTCGGGTTCGCCAACCCCTTCTTCCACCAAGGCAGCAGCAGCACCACCCGCAGCACTAGCAGTCACGAGACCCCCATCTACCAGTGCGCCCGATCCTGTAGCCTCGCCAGAAGGCACAACACAACTCCGCCTCGATCTCGCCGAGGCCATTCGCGGGCGTGGCCAGGCTCAGACACGCCTCAAATCTGCCGAGGCCGAACTCGCGACGCTACGATCTAAGAATAGAGTGGACAATAAACGTATAAGTGATTTGACCAACGAGCGTAACGCGCTGACGGCAAGGATACGGGATCTGAACGAGGAGCTCGATAAGAAGAGGAGTTTTCTGAAGGTATGTGGAACGTATTGGGCGCCACCTGCTTGTTTGTCTGTTTGGGGCTGGCTGGGTATTGTTTACCTGTTGGGATCCGGTCGCGGTGGAACCCTGGCGTAGTACGATAGAATGTCATGAAGAAAAAGGTAAAAAGGCGGTAAGGGGTAAAAGTGACTAGATAGATGACGAAGGGATGAGGCTGGTGTCCACATGTCTGAGAGAAGGCCCTTTTCATGCTGACTACCTCTCCTCTCTCTCTAGGATGTCCAAGATGAAAACCTCACGCTGAACATGGAGCTGAACATGACGGCACAGAGGGCAGCTAAGGTGGAAGCCGAGAACAAGGAGCTTGTAGACCGGTGGATGAAGCGTATGGGCCACGAGGCTGACGCCTTGAATCTGCAAAACGAATCACCTAAGAATCATAAAAAATGACGCAAGACAAACAAACCAACTGAAAAAAACGTGAATATCATTGCTACATCTGGTATCATCTAGATCTGCGTCGTCTATGCAGTAAGTGTCTAACATGTTGTCTCGCTCCCAGTCCCAACCGGTTCTCGCACGCGGCTGGCTATTCCCACCTTGGTATCCTGTAAACCACCATCCCGACCCTTTTCGTCCGGCAGTGTATAAATGCATGCCGTAATCACTAACGTTTGTTTATCTTAGGTAAGGCAAAAGATCCCTACTCGTACGGCCCGAGCCGGACTTTATTTTCTAGTGGAGATGTAGTACTCGCCGTCGGAGCCAGTCCAACTTACCCAATTCTCATGATATCGGAAATACTCAAAGTCGAGTATACTCGTAGCAACGTCATTGATCGCGGTTTTGTTATCGTATACGAATGACTTTAGAGATATGATTTTGCAGCCTTTCTTCAAATCGAGGAACATATTGATGAGGGCATCATTGAGACTTGACGTGAAAGCCTTATTGTTGACAAGGATGACATCTGCCTCTTTCAATACTTCGAGGATCTTCGAGTTCGTACGGAAATCGCCTCGTTCGAGTTGGACCCTTCCTGGCGCTACGCCCCAGAGCATACATCTGGACCGGAACTCTTTTTCTTGCGCCTCAGCCAGGTTACAGGCATTTTCCATCATCTCACATCCGTAGCTGCGACACCCAATCTCGAGTGCGGCCTGAAGGACAACATTTCCGACTCCAGACCCGAGGTCGATAAAGACCTGGTCGGATGTCATTTTCGTCTGCTCTACTAGTATTTTAGTAACGAATGGATGCAACAGCTCGCCATAAACATTGTCGCTTCCAGCATCATACTTGGTCAGCATTTCAACTTTGGGTGCGACTGTGCGATCGTAGACCTGGGTGAGGATCAAGGAGACGAGGCTAGACGGCAGATGATGAATGCGGTCGAGATTCTTAGCGACGGTACCGTCTTTCACTAACTCGAGAAGCCTTGAATTGTAACTGTCGAGTGCTGATCGAAAGGCCGAGACATCCCGATACTTCTCGCTTATAGCCCGCTCCATCTGCCTCCTGAAACTCGTGTTGTGATCGATAAAAGCCTTGGAGTCGGCATCGGTGAGATATGTCTCGGCTACGCTTTCGATGATTGCGAGAATGTCTTTGACCGCATCAATCTTATCTTTTTGCCATACGAGCTCATACCTTAAATGAATAAAAATTAGTGCTATAGTTAAGACCTGCCTCATAAGAAGAACTTACCTCTCTCTCGCGCAGCGTGAAGGATACTGCACCTCGATAGCCACCTCATTGTCTTTTGCACCGGGAATCGCGGGGCACTTTGTTGCGCGTGAGGCGATATCAGCCGCATGGATGATGTTGGGTTTTCTAATCTCGTCGCTGAATGCCTTCTTGTACCGTAACTTGCGGTTCGCGTCGACCAACCTTCCGTCGCTCCGTCGCATGCGCTTTCGGAAGGGATCGCCGTCGTCATCCTCTGATTCGGTGTCGTTGCCAAAAACAGGCGAATCGCGAGGCGTGCTTGTGACAGCCTTGCGCTTCCGCTCGATCCGCCGCTCGTCAGACGAGGAGGGGTAAGGAGATATGCTCTTTGGTCGCGACGAGCGCGGGATGGGGGATAGCTTTGCCGGGAGGGAGAGATGAGTGGATGATGCCCTCACGCTGGTAGAAGGCATAGGCTTTGGCCGGGGTTTCGTGGGCACGACGACCTTTTCCACGCGCATGGTGGGCGCCGCCGCCGTCTTGTGTTTTGCCTTCTGGCCGAAGAGCCCCATGGTTGCACGAGTTTTGGGTCGTTGCAGAGCGTGGTAGCGATGGGAAATAGTCGTCGTATATAGGGGTCGGTTTAATAGGTTATAAAGGAGAGACGAGACTATAGCATTGTGTATCACGTAATGAAGAAATGCTAAATTCGTCAATGCGCGTGGCCTTGTGTACGGCGCGGGGGGTAGAAATGATGACGAACTATCGAAAAAGAGAGTGGTTGCGCCTCGGTGGGTTGTGCGGTCAAGTGAGGGGCAGAAAAGCGAGAGAGTTATACAGGGTGAATCAATCAGGCAACCAAGGCTGGGGAAACGCAACAAATGCCGGGAGAGCGAGAAAAGAAAGTGATGCTCAGAATTGTGTACTGTACAGTCAGTAGGCAGGCTGCGAGGGAGGCAAAGGGACCGGATTTGGAAGTGCTAGTGTAGTCAGACCACCCACGGGTACATGGGTACTTACATGGCCTAGTCACGCCGCTGTCATCCCACTAAAATCCTGGGAAAAAAGTACTTGGCTTGGCTCAGAACAGACTCAGAACTTGGGGTGACGGGGGGGCAGTTAAGGCGTCTGTAAGGCGTTCAGCTCCAGGGTTCTTTACCACCCCCACTTCCCATATTTGAGATAGTACGTATAGTTTATTGGCGGGTCACCTTGACAGGACTAGCCTTGCAGATGTACCCGAGTTGTTGGGATCCCCGATCAATCAGAGCCAGCCTTCAGTCCTCAACGTTGTCTTCAAAATAGAATCGGACGATGAGGTTACTAAGAATAAGTTTGGCACCAATGCAACCACTTACATATCTACACAGTATGCCAAGGGCTTATCTTTCTTTTCCGTTATACAATCTAGAATGCGACCATACAACGGATAGACCCGAGAGCTTTACGCGTTCGATATGCTAGCCTAATTATCATACCTATAGCGATATTGTTGCTGGACTTAGGTAAAGCTTGTGAACTCATATTCCGCCATGAGCCCTCCGAGGGTAATGGATGCTTCCCGGGGCTTCGTCGAATACGAGCCTTGTCCGACTTTCACACACGCCTCTCTTATCCGTAGAGCGACTCGCTCATGCGTAACTAACCAATTTCGACACCTTAGAATTTTCGCCAAGTCGCATAGCCTTCTCGCCCAACTGACATAGTCGGAAGAATTCTTTTGTTAGTATTGTACATGCACGATTATTGCCACAGCCAATATCTCAAGATGTCATAGACATTAAAGGAATGGCATTAGTTGGAAATGCCAAGCTTTGGCCTTGGTCGTGGGTAATAAAGAGGCGTTCAATGAATTCTTCGAGTCTTTGCTGCTGCTATGTCGCCTTATGGAGACATTGTCAAATGGGATTGTGAGAGGGCAAACTTCATTGTCGGTCCAGGTTTTGAAGGGAGA